AAAATTTTAATTTCAATGAGGTCTAGCATATTATTTCATGGATTGTACCTTTGGTGCTGTATGTAAAAAGCCATCACTATGCCAACGATTATCTAGGTCTTCTCCATGTTATCCCTAGGAGTGTTACAGTTTTGTGTTTTACATCTAAGTCTGTGATCCATTTTAATTTTTGTGAAGGGTGTAAGTTGTATGTCTAGATTTTTTTTTTGTATGTGATGTCTAGTTGTTCTAACACCTCTTGTTAAAAAGACCATCTCTGCTTCACTGTACGCCTTTGCTTTTTTGTCAAAGATGATTTATCTGTCTGTTCTCTTGCCAATACCATACTGTCTTGATTATTGCAGCTTTATAGTTAAGTCTTAAAGTCAATCTTCTAACCATGTTCTTTTACTTCACTACTGTGTTGGTTATTCTGAGTCTTTTGCCTCTCCATATAAACTTTTGTTGATATCCGCAAAAGAACTGCCTGAAGTTTTATTTGTATTGTGTTAAATCTGTAGTTCAGGAAGAACTGACATCTTGACAATACTGAGTTTTCCTACCCATGAACATGGAATATCTCTCCATTTATTTAGTTCTTTGATTTCTTTGATCAGAGTTTTATAGTTTTCCCCATATAGATCTTATGTATATTTTATTATATTTATACCTCAGTATTTCATTTTTGTGGGTGCAATATTAATAGTATTGAGTTTTAAATTTCAAATTCCACTTATTCCTTGTTGGTATGTAGGAAAGTTACCAACTTTTGTGTATGAACATTGTACCTGCAAACTTTTCATAACTATAAATGGCTTACTAGTTCCAGGACTCATCTCAATATTAAATTTTAACAGCAAAAACTGTCAATAAAATGTTAACATTTGTAGTCTACTGTTACATTGAAATTCAACTATTATGTGAGCAACTGATTTCCAGAATGTAAGAACAGTTCCATGCTAGAAAACTTAATGTAATTTCTGTCAAAAATAGATAAAGGGATCCCTTTTTCCCTTAATTAGCCTGGCTAGAGGCTTATTGATTTCACTGATCTCTTTAAAGAATAAGCTTTGGTTTCACTGATTTTTTTTCTATTGGTTTCCTGTTTTCAACTTAATGGATTTCTGCTCTAATTTTTATTATTTTTCTTCTGTTTACTTAAGATTTAATTTGCACTTCTTTTTCTAGTATCCTAAGGTGGAAGCTAAGACAATTAATTTTAGATCTTTCTTCTTTTCTAATATATGCATTCAGTGCTATAAATTTTCCTCTAAGCACTACTTTTACTACATCCCACAAATTTTAGTAAATTGTGTTTTTTCATTTAGTTCAAAATATTTTCAAGTTTCTTACGAGACATTTTATTTGACGTGTTATTGAGAAGAGCGTTACCTTTCTTCCAAGTATTCTGGAATTTTCCAGCTATCTTTTTATTATTGACATCTAGTCTAATTCCATTGTGGTCTGAGAGCAAAGTATGATTCCTGTTCTTTTAAATTTCTTAAGGATTTATTAAGGTTTATTTTATGGCCCAGAACGTGGTCTATCTTGGTGGATGACATGTAAGCTTGAGACAAATGTGTATTCTGCTGTTGTTGATGAAGTAATCTATAGATGTCCTTATATCAATTTGATTGATGATGGTGTTGAGTTCAACTGTCTTTACTAACTTTATGCCTGCTCGATCTGTCCATTTCTGATAGAGTTGTGTTGAAATTTCCAGCTAGGATAGTAGACTGACTTATTTTTCTTCGCACTTCCATTGGTTTTTGCTTCATGTATTTTGATGCTATGTTGTTACATGCATACACATTAAGTATGTTACGAATTTTTTGGTTCCTTAGTGCATTTCTTTTAATGTGATGTAATACATAGATTTATTTTCTTGTATCTAACCACTCCTGCATTCTTCGGATAAAACCCAGCTTGCCATGGTTTGTATTCCTTTTAATATGGTTTTGAATTCAGTATGCTAGTATTTTGTTAAGGATTTATGTATCTACTGTCATTAGGAATACTGGTCTGTAATTTTTTTTGTGACACTATTAATATGGCTTTGGTATAAGGGTAATGTTGGCCTTATGGAATGAGTGCTCCCTATTTTTGTAGTCTGTGGAAGTGTTTAAGAGGAACTATTGTTAATTCTTCCTTAAATGTTTGGTTCACTTTACTAGTGAAGCCGTCTGGTCCTGGTCTTTTCTTTGTCAGGCGGGTTTTTTATTACTGATTCAATCTCTTTGCTTATTATAAGTCTGTTGAGACTTTCTAGTTTGTGTTGTGTTGGCACAGAGTTGTTCATAGTATTCTCTTACATTCCTTTGGCTTTCTGATGAAAGGTAGTAATATCCACTTTCATTTCTAATGTTAGTTATTTGTTTTCTCCCTCCCTCCTTTCTCTCAGGCTAGCTAGTTTGCCAATTTTGTTGATATTTCAAAGAATCAACTTTGGTTTAATTCTCTTTATCATTATTCTGTTTTCATTTTATTGAACTCTGCTCTAATCTTTATTATTTCTTTCCTTCTGCTGGCTTTGTTTCCTTTGCTCTTCTTTTTCTAGTTCTAAGATATAAATTTAGGTTACTGATTTGAGATCTTTCTTCCTTTTTAATATAGGCATTTACAGCTATAAATCTGCCTCTGCATACTGCCTCCACTGCACCCTATGTGGTGTTTTCATTTGATCAATCTATGAGTACTTTCTAATTCCCCTTGTGATTTCTTCTTTGATCCACCGGTTGGTAAAGAGTGTCTTGTTTAATTTCCACTTATTTTTGAACATTCCAGTTTTCATTATGTTATTGATTTCTAGCTTCATTTCATTGAGGTGAAGTAGAAACTGTGTGTGATTTCAATCTTTTTACATTTATTGAGATATATTTTGGCCTAACACTGAGTCTATCCCGGAGAATGTGCCAATTGCTCGAGAAGAACGTGTATTCTGCTGTTTTTGGGTGGAGGTTTTTTGTTTGTTTGTTTTTTTAACACATGTCTGTTAGTTTTAGTTGGTTATAGTGTTGTTCAAGACCTCTATATTCTTATTTATCTTTTGTCTATACGTTCTAACTGTTATTGGAAGTGGGGTATTAAAAGTTTTCTATTATTCAAGAACTTTTTTTCTCTTAAATTCTATTGCAAAGTATTCTTAATGGATTGAAGATTCCTACAACCTTGTAAAAGGGCAAAAATAGGCTTCAAAATTGACATGTGTATAACTTTCAATCCAGAAATTCTACTTCTAGAAAATATCCTAAAGAAATGATAGTATGAGAATAATAAAAACTAACACTTATTGAGCCTTTACTTGGTGCCAGGCCATGGACTAAGCATTTTAAGGGCATTAACTTATTTACTGGGTATTTTTATTATTATCCCAAATTTGTAAGTGATACAAGAGATTATGAGTGTTTGATCAGTAGATAAATACATGTGATTCCAAGTTTTCAATGCAACAGTGTTTATTATGGAAAAGAAAAAAGGAAGGCAAACCAGTGAACAGATTGGCACTTAGACTTAGAAAACCTGGGTTTAAACTGCACTTTATCAATAATGACTATAAAATCCTTGATTCTTCTGTGTCTCACTTTCCTCAAATGCAAATAATCTTAGATTTCTTCCAGTTTGTACTTTATGATTCTTGTTTATTACCAAAATCACCTAAGGTAGTGCTGGAAACAAGGCAGTCCCTGACTGTAAGTTATTTGAGATGCTAATGTAACGCCTTCTACACATTAATCCTTCCCTAGAAGCACAGGTATTTACAGAAGAAACACCTCTACTTCAGAAAGCTAGCTACAACCGTGCAATCATGATTAATCAAATAAACAAAACAAAACAATCCCCTAAACAAAATAAGACGTAATATCTAGTTTATATTTGTATTTCTAGCAGAGAAATCTTACTTGCAACCATAAATATTCAATCATCAGAGAAAAAGCAAGTTCTGACCAATTCTACCGCATCATTCTTTCATTGATATAATACATTTTTTAAACACATATTAAATATTTGGCCTTGTGCCAGGTTAATAATATACCAGTCTGTGTTTTCAATAAGCTAGGTCATAGTTTGGGTGGGGAAACATTTTGTGAATATATAATTACAGTAAGAACTATTGTAAAGTTATTAACAAAATTCTATAGCAGTACAGAATAAGATATATTTAGACTTCCTGAGATGGCTTTCAACTTGGCTTTTTTATTTGCTGGATGAATAAGATAGTAGACTAGGCATGTTTAGGCAAGGAGTGGGTGGAGGTGGGAGCTGGCAGACAATGCAGAGGAAACAGTATATGTAAGGGTTAGAGTCAAGTAATGGCAGATATCACACTCAGATTATAATTTAATGTTATGGAAATAAAATGTCAATTTAATACTAATTCTCTCACTTTGACAGACATCATATTATTATTATTATAGCTAATAGTTTCTAAGCACTTATGATGTATCAGCTTACATACTTGTTACATAAAACCAATGAGATTGGGTTTTACAAATGAGAAAATATTGGTCCAATGTTTTGTCCAGCATTACACAGCTAGTAACAGATGAGGCTAAGCACTAAAACCAGATTGTCCAAGTCTAGAGCTGGCACAGGATTTCCCTTGCTAAGCACTTCTGCTGAGATGTGTTAGTCCATGCCAATTATCCCACTTAACAGAAGTATCTGCAAAGGTACCCCTGAGCCTCTCCTAAGTTACTTAAAAGATAGAGGGTCTGGACACCTAATCATGCCTCCCACGCAGATTACCAAAATATCTTGTCCAGATATGCAGCCCTTCATAAATATTTTAACTCTTTCCTGATAGACTTCTTCTCCCCACTAAACATAGCTTTCCCTTTCCTTACACAATGATTAGGATGTCTACAACAGCTTCCTATGGATAAGAATGAGAGTTAAGAATACTATGTTTGAAAGATAGCTAGTTTCTACTGTATATCAAAAACAGTAAATAACTAATAGCCCTACTAAGCATAAAGAGGCGAAAATTAATTCAACTTCATAAATGTGAAGTCAAACGATACCTTCAGTCCCTCTAATTCATTTTCCAGTTGCTTAGAATAGTGCTCACTCTGTTCACGCAATTTCCTGTCTTTAGATGCTTCAGCAGCTACAGCTTCTGTATGAACTTCCAGCTTTAAAATAAAATGAAAAAAGCAGATTTCATGATTATAATTGTTTTTCTAATAAAATGTTTTTCCCCATGGGAATTTACCTTGCAATAGGAAGATAACTCAAATGCTGAAATTCATATTAAACAGTATTACCAAACTAAAAAAATAACTTTTTTTCCAAAAATTAAAGAATGAAATATTTATTATTTCACTAGTCTGAAAAAGAAGCTTTAATCACTACCCCATGGGCACTACACAATTTGCCTGACTACTAACCTCTTTTTTGGCTCTTTCTGTTCTGCGCAGTTCTTGCCTTAAGCTTTCAACTTTTTGCATCACCAGGTCCACCTCTTCTTCCTTATCTCGGACATGGCGAGCAAGTTTCTGTTTTTGGGTGTGCAATTCTGTTAGCCGCTCATTGATCTCCATGAATTCCTGCATGGCCAGTTTCCTCTGACAGTGTGCGTCTTTCAGCTCTTTGGATTGGTTTTTTAATCGCTCACTAGCCTGGACTAGTTCCTACAGTTTTATAAAAAGAATATAAGTTACCAATCTGCAACCTAGGGACCCAATTTGGCCATCAAAATAGCTATCATGAAGTCAAGAAGAGCCAAAATTATTCACTTCAGAACAAAATTAAAAAGAAATGAACTACTTATGAACAGATACTAAGAGCATGGTGCTCTGTTCATATTCTCAGTTCCTTATGCTAACATACTAACTGCAAAGGAACAGTTCATTTAACCTTCTGGTACCTTAGTTTCTCTAAGTAAATGTATAGGAATACAAGATATAATGGTCAAAATAAAGATTTTGTGAAATTTAATGGACACTTGTGAGATTAAAAAAAATACGTTGAATGATTACAAATGATAAAAACAAGGGCTGTACTTGATGTGGAGACAAAATCTTGGGCAAGAAGTGAGGAGAAAAGCTACACTCTAATAAAAATGAGAAACTTAGAAGGCGCCAAGGTAGCCTCAGGTCAGTAGAACTACCTGCCTCCCAGCAAAAGGAAATGTAAACGTTCTTTGTAAACGTTCGTCCTTAACGAAACCCAGGGGTTTTTTGTTTTTTTTAAAGAACACACAAATATGAGCTCACAACCATAGATTCCCAAACACCCAAAGGACAAACAACCATAAATAAGGAAATAACATAGACAATAAAAATAAACCCCAATGGTATTTGGATATTAGAATTATCAGATACTGATAAAACTGCTATATATGAAATGTTTGAAGAAATAAAAGGAAATCCTAAAAATGGGAAAATGACAAAAGACTATTAAAAATGTCCAGGCAGATTTATAAAACAACTTCATAGAACATTTAGAAATGAAAAAAATGTAAATATTAAAATTAAAAACATGAATCCACCAATGTATAAAGCTCTACCTTTATGAAGCAAGAAAAATAAAAAGAAACTCAAATCCTGAAACTTTAAAAAATAAAACATACAACAACAAGTAAAAATTTTAAAAAAGAAATCAGAGGGAGAAGAAAAACCCAAATCACCTATTCCTCAAAAAGGGGGGGAAAAAGATAGAGTAGATATTTAAGAAGTAACAATAGTAACAGGGAAAAGTATTTTTAAAAGAGATGAGAAAATAATTAAAATTGTACATCCAGAAAAATTACTTTTCAAGTATGAGTTTAAAAAATAACAAATGTCATACTAACAAAAATTGACAGAGCTTACTACAATCAGATCTGCACTAAAGGAACCTCTAAAACATTTATTTCAGGAAAAAGAAAACTGATTTTAGAAGGAAGGTCCAATGAAAGAGAAGCGGAGAGCTAAGAAACTGGCAAACACAAATATAAATGTAAATAAACTTGAATATAAGATTGCATTACTAAAATGTCTCACTTGTACAGTAAACAAAAATGATATAACTGAAATATAATACAATATAAATAAAATGTCAAAACAGCACAGTAGTTGGGAATAGGTAATAGAGCTAAAAGTTCTCAAATTGTTTGGGAGCAGTAGTTTAAAATATTAAATCTAGACTTTGTTAAATACACATGATAAAATTCAATTCTATTAGAAACCACTAGAATGAGTAGTGAGTAAAATGGGAAGAAAAAACAAACTAAAACCTCAACTAAAAATCAAGAAAAAAATTTTGCGAGATGAAAAGAATTCTGGAGATTGGTCTAACAACAATGTGAATATATTTTACACTGCTGAACTGTACACTTAAAAATGGTTAGGACAGCAAACTGTATGTTATATGTATTTTGCACAATTTAAAAAAAAGAGCAAGAAAGGAAACAAAGATAAGCATAGAAAAAGCATGACAAATAGAAAGCAAAAAGGCACAAGTGGTAGAAACATGTCCTTACACATTAATCAAAGTAAGTATGACAGGGTTAAGTTCACCAGTTAAAGGCAGTTTGTTATACCAAATTAAGAAACAAAATCTAGACTTAAACAGAAAAAGTATTTTTATAGCACACAGTGATAAAATTCTATTAACTAGAAAGAAATTGCGTTCTAAATTTTGTGCTTCCATAAGACAGACTCAAAGTGTATTAGAAAAAACTGCTAGAACTTCATAGAAAAATTGGTGAATACATCATCATAATGAGAAATTCCAATTTCTCAATCATTAACAGATAAAACAAGTAACTAAAAAACACTGAATATAAAGAAGATTTGAAAAGCTTAATTTGCAAGCTTCATATATAGAACATGCATTCAATATTGCAAAACACATTCTTCTCAAGCATATATTGAATATTTAAAAATGAAACAGTCTAGGGCATGCAGTAAATCTGAGTAGGTTTCAAAGAACAGATATCGTACAGATCAAGTTCTTTAATAACAATACCACTGAAATAGAATAAAAAAAAGGGCTAAATTCTGTAGTAACTCACTGGTCAAGGAGAAAAATCATAAAGAATATTAAAACATTTAGAACTAAAAATTTTTTAAATCAAAAAACAATAAAAAATGTTTAGTACATACTAAAACTTGAGGGTGCTTAGTAAAAGATATATATATATATATAAATTTATTTATAAATTTATAGTCTGCAATACTTATATTGAAACCAAAAAATAAAGTTGAAACTCAATGAAATTCCACATAAAAAGTTAGAGATAGAACAATACATTAAGCCTTTGGTCCAAATATGAGATGATGATAATAAAGTGCATAAATTAATGAAAAAGAAACATGAGAATAATGAAGATCAACAAAGCCGGAAGTTGGTTCTTTGATCTCACTAAATATCTGGTGAGGTCAAAAAAGGGAACAAGAATAAACGCACAAAGAAATAATATTAAGAAAGAGAGATTATAACTTCAAATCTAGGAGAAATAAAAAGGATAAAAGAATGCAATGAAAAACTTTACATCAATTTATCTGTCAACTTATGCAAATATTCTAATTTATCAAAACTGTTTCAAGAAGAAATAGAATGCCTGAATAGTCCTGTAACAATTAAAGTAACTAAACCAATAGCTAAGAAAATTTTCCCACTCCCTTCAGTGGGAAAGAATCTCCAGGCTCAGATGGTTTTACAGATGTTTCCGCCAGTGTTTCAAGGAACAAAATGTCCCTTTTATACAAACTTTTCTAAAGAACAGAAAAAGAGGCAGTGCTACTCAGCTCATCTTGAGACCAGTATAACCTTGATACCAGAAAAAGACCAGAAAGATAAGAAAAAAAAATTATAAGCCAATGTTATTACAGAAAACAAATTATAACTCCTTTAAAAAAAAGACATTAGCAAATCAGTTCCAGTGATGTATAAAGTGGATAAACATGAACTCTGGAACTAGACTCTTTGTGTTGAAATTCCAGTCCCCCACTTTCTAGCTCTACGATCTTGAGTAAAGGTGCTTAACTTCTCTGTGTGCAGTCTCATCATTTGTAAAATGAAAAGAGGACAACCACTACTGCTGTTGCTGCTGCTGCTGCTACCTAAATCATACGTTTCTTTAAAAGATTAAATGATCTAAATATGGAAAGCACTTAAACCAGTACTACTGGAACTGAAGCTACATAAGTGTTACCTATACTATCATATTATTTTTTAGGAGACAATACAAGGGCAATGTAGTTTCATCAAATTTCTAGAAATTTGTTGCAATACTGTGCAGAAAAGCACATTTAATAAATTCAATACACATTCTCGATAAAAATGATTAGCAAAACAGGAATAGAAGAAAATTTTCTTAACCTGATAAAAAATATTTACAAAAAACGTACAGAAAATATTATTATTAATGGTGAAATATTTAAAGATATTTTCTTTGAAATCTGGAGTAAGGTAGGGACACCCAATATCATCACTTCTATTCAACATTGTATTGGAGGTCCTAGCTAATACAGTAAGATGAGAAAAGAAAGAAAAGTGGGGGGAAAAATCAAGATGAAGAAACAAAACTGTCATTATTTGAGAAAACCATAAAGAACCTCAAATATAGCTTTACAATTAATAAGAGTTTAGCAATGCTGCTAGAATAGAATCAGTAAGAAAATGTAATTTTTAAAGATTCCATTTATAATATGAAAACACAGAAAAAAAACATTCAAGGAAAAGCAAACGAGACCTGCAGAAAATGTTAAGGAGAAACATTTTAAAAGACTTTAAAGATAAAGAGGAGATATACCATGTTTGTGGATAAAAAGACTGTGGGGCTGCAGAGAAAATAATTTTATCTTTTGTACAGTTAGACCTTTCTAGGCAAGTTTTACTGAAACTTGGGGCCTAAAAACCTTGTAAAGTAATTTATGCCTAATTTAGATAGTGAGAAAACTCCAAAGCGATTTAACTCCTGGACTTCTGTGTTTACATTTCAAGGAGGGGCGGAGAGAGAGATAAGAGCCTGGACCAGGGAGATATCTTCTTCATAGAGCTGGAGACTTGGGCTTATCTTTCCACTGGTGATTTATTTTTATTCCAATGGGTCCTCCATCCTTCTCTTTAGGTTTCCAAGGAAACCCTCAGAAAGGTAAGTAGAAATGAGGGAAGCAGAAAGCATCTGCCTCTCTTCTCTATAAAACCCCCCTGATTCACTCTTCCAAGGCTCCTCCTCTACCATACAGACTCCGTCTGTGTAGGATTTCATCCATCCATCCAGCTCTCATAGTGTTGCTCTAAAGGTAAGAACTGGTATACAGGGAAGCCATGTGGTTAATGTTTTGCTGTATGTAAATCGTAATACTCTGCTCTGCTCTTGAAATCTGTCTTTGCATTTAGAATAAATATGGATAAGAACTTAAGGACTCAATATTGTAATGATGTCAGTTCTCCTGAAATTACTCTATAGATTTAATACAACTTTAATCATTTCCCATCACAGTTTTTCAAGAATAGAGAGTTGAGATACAGACCCATGAATAAACGAAAATTTAATATATGAAAGAGGTGACATTGCGCATCACTGAGGGAAGGAGGGCCTATTTAGTAAATAAACAACTGGTTAGTCACATGGGAAATAGTGAAACTGGTTCCTTATGATCCACAAAAATTAATTTCTGATTCATTAAAAATAAGCTTAAATATGAAAGACCAAACTTAAGAACTGCAAGATAAAAATTTAGAACTATTTTTTACCTCAGATTCCTTACATAAGCCAGCAAATGCACTAACTGTAAAGATAAAGATTGATAAATTTGACTATATTAAGATCAAAAACTTTTGTTAATTAAAAGATTCCATAAAGAAAGTGAAAAGATAAGTCACTAACTGGGAAACATCTGTAACGTACATAATTGACAAAAAATTTGAACGTCCAGAAACTTTCAAGAATTGTTACAATAAGGAAAAGACAAACAACCCAACAGAAAAATGTATAAAGGATATTAAGAGGCATTTCACAAGAGAATAAATATAAATGATAAATAGACTTTTGTGAAGATACTCAACCTCATTAGTAATTAGAGAAATGCAAATTAAGGCCATACTAAAACATCATTTTAGACTTAAAATATCAATTTAGATTAGGCTGGCCAACAATAATATATCTAGTATTATGAAGTATCATTGAATATAAAAACTTCTACACACTACTAGTGGGAGTATAAATTGATATAATCAGTCAAAAATGATTTGACATTATCATAAAAAATAGAATTTGTGCGTTGTGTATGGCCCAATTATTCTATTTTTATTTGTGTGTGTGCGTGTGTGGATGCACGTTCAGCAATGTTCATAGCAGTATCATTTATAGTAGCTATCAATTATAAGCAACCTAAAAATGTCTGCAAACAAAAAATTAGATGAATAAATTGTGGGTGTTGACATAATGGTATATTATACACCAACTAAATGGATGAGCTACAGCTACATGGATGAATCTTAGAAACATAACACCGAGTAAAAAAAACAAATTGCAAGAAATTGCATACACTATTTTACAAAGCTCAAAAACAAGCAACACTAATATACTGGGTATAGATATACTAATATGTGATAAACGTTTTTCCTAAGTAAGGGAATGATTAACATAAAACTGAGAACAGTGATTACCACGGTCAGGGAAGTGAAGAGAAAGGAATAGGAAATGACTACCCAAAACTATGCCACAAAATAGGTAATGTTCTATGTTTTAAGTTGGATGTTAGGTCCATTTTATCATTTACATCAAAATTTATATAATGTTACATTGATTCTTTTATAAGCACCAAATGAAAAAAATCTTAAAAATATCTGCTGCTTGTAGGATATTAGGCAAATCACTTAAAATTCTTTATCAATATGATTTGTTTCATTTCAGCATTACCCTCTTCTCTATACTAAAAGGATTTTTAATATTAAAATTTACTAAAAATTGGCTAAATATCTGTCACTATAAATCTAGAAATCAGATGCTCATCCTTATTATGTTAACGAAGTTTGGCTGAGTAATCCTACCTTTAAATACATAATAGTAACCACTAATATAATATTATTATTAAAACAGATAGAACATTTAACTGTTATAAATTCCAAATATTATTAAATTGGTCATGAATATAAACAGATCTATACACAACACTGCTTGAAAGTGCATCAAAAAAAAAGTAAAAAAATACGAATCTAATTCAATTTGACCTTGATAACTTTCTCTGTTAGTCTTTTTGATTAGTTTCATCAGCAAAAGGTTATTTGTTTTATTTTTAATTACCTTCACTGCCTCACAGGCAGCAAGACTTATTGTAAGTCTTCCCAGAACGACAATCTGTATTATTAGTGAATTATATACTACATCATTGAATATAATTTATACTATATCATAAACCATTTAATTCTTTTTGTGTTGGCTAGTATTAATTCCAACATTTTAAACTTTGTTATTGAAAGGCAAAGTACACAAAGCATGTCATTTAAGTGAAGTATTTTTCTCTAGTGCTTGAATATTATATACCCTATTGGACTGTTTTCACAGTGTCTTAACTATTAATAAATTTTGTTGATATTTATAACACTACTCAAGTGGTCACAAAGTTCTCATGAAAATAACTAGCTTATTTCACCCATGCTTTGAGAGATAAACTGCCATTTTAAAAAACGATTAAAAAATTAAAGAAATTTTGTTATAATCTTTTAAAAATGTTCATTTTAGCAAGTCACAGTGAAAATATGCCTGTATTTCCAACTTTTCCAGACACTAAACAGATTTTAATCTTTTCTCATTCATAGTATTTTTTTCAATAACATTTACTTTTAGTTGAGTCCTTTCATTATTAACTTTACAAAAGAACAAAAGATCCTGAACTTTAAAGCCTCAAAAATGTAACAGTTTCTTCACTGCTAGCCATTCATCAAATTATATACACCAAAATAACTGTTGAATTTTTTAAACCAACTTTTTACAGATAAAATGTACTATATTTTATTGTAATTCATTATGAATGCTTCCCATATATAAATTAAACAAGATTAAGAATTCAGAACAGGCTTTAACAATCTATCCATATATTTTTACCTTATTTAATTCTTCCCTTTCTTGTTGTAGTGTTTTGATTTGTTTTTCATAAGCTTTGATTTGTCTAAAAGCATCATCTAGCTCTCGCCTCACAGAATTAGCTTCTTCAAGTTGCTGTTCCAAGTGACTTGATTCTAAAAAGAGGAGACAATGTTTCTTTTACTATTTGCATAAAAACGAACACTTAAAACCAAGATTTAAAACAACTAAATTAAAAAAATAAAGTATTTTGAATTTGGTATTAGGCTTATGGACACCACATACCAGTGACTTGTGACAATTAAATGCTTATCAGTTCACTGTAAAAATGGTGAATGGATAAGGCCAGTGTGAAGAGCAAAATTTATGTGCAAAAATGCCTTACATATCTATTAGGAAAAAAAAGAACATACTTCCAAAAACAGTATTAAAAACTTAAAACTTTAACAAAAAAGAACAAAACCAATCAAACAAATAAAACAGACAAGATGTCCCTTACTGTTGGTTACCATCCTTATACTGCTATTACTCAAATTACTGTATGATGGTTTTGCTTCTAATACTGTGGTTCCAGACCACCCAGTCTGGTTTCACTCACTAGTGGTGATTTGAAGAATAAATATTAATTTCTAAAAGCAAATATCTGAAAGAGGCTTAGGAAATCAAGTAACTTGACTAAAGTCACATTGCTAAATGAGTATCAGAGCTAACTAGAGTCCATCAATTCTTACATCAACTTCTCTAACTTAAAAAGCATCATAATTAAATAATGTTTAATGTTATCAATTCAGAAGTTATAAAACAAAGTGAAATTATTAATTTTAACATATGCTTAAGTAAAATGTAATAAATTGATATGAGATATTCCTGGCATCAAAAGTAAATTAGCAAATTAAAGAATTGAAGCCAGTGAAAACAGAAACCTAAACATACTCATTGCTAATTTTGTTCTGAATATTTTCTATTCTTTACAGCCTTGTTACTCTGAGTGTCATCCCCAGACAAGTAGTATTAGCATCCTCTGGGAGCTTGTTAGAAATGCAGAATCTCAGGCTCCCATCCCAAACCTAATGAATCAAAATCTGTATTTCCACAAGATCCTCAGGTGACTCATTTGCAAATTAAAGATCAGGAACAAATGTACAAATCACTGTACATTGTTGAATTTGATGCTTTCAATAAATGAACAAGTGTTTAAAACATATTAGTCCTGTTGAAAAGAGCATTTCATTTGTATAGATAAGTTCTGTAGTCAAAGTCACTTACATGCATTCGTGTATTACACACTAACTGATTCTAGATTCTTTAAATAATTTACTAATATTCAGTGACTTAAACTTATAGATTTATTAAAAATTTAGTTATCTTAGGTATTTTGAAAGTCTAAACATATTTATAGATAGCATAGTTTTTAGCAATTTCGAAAATATCTACAAAGTTGCATTTAATTAGTTTTCATTTTGCCTTAATAGTATGATTTAATAAGTGTTTTAGTAGAAGAACAGTAAAAAAGATCAAGGGATGTCTAATGTTAAGGATCATAGAGTGTTTACTCTTATATTCAGAAAATTACATTTTTATCATTTTTCAAAGTTCAGCAGTTCACGTGGGAATTTTTCTGCTTATAACTAATTTTTTCAAACATATTAAAATTATATTTTGTTATTTTAAGTTTTTAGCATTTTTAGGATTTCAACAATTTTTAATAAGAAATCAATTTAGTTTCCTATTTCTAATAATTTAGTCAAAATTTAGTATGTGACAACTAAATGACACTTCTGCCATTTCTGGGGTCATTTAATCTTATGGTTAAGGTATATCAATCTAAAGTAGCAACATGGTGCATTTAGTAATACCTTCTGAGAATGCTTACTTCCTTTCTTCAACTTTGAAAAGTTCTTCCCTAGCATGTTAAATTCTTTTTTGCAAATTATTGAGTCATTTACTTATCTAAACTGCTCTGTATTAGAAACAAAAATGAAAGCAGTATTTCACAAAACGTCTACGTCATATAAAGTTTACAGTAAAATGTATTAAATGGGCTAGCTTCAACAGTCTTTAAAGATGTTTTTATTGTTTTATTTCAATATGGGTTAAATTTTAGTTATATCCCAGCCATTTCACTTTGGCAGCTTTGCAATGGAGTTAAGTAGATATACAAAATACATGTCAGATTTTTGTCATTCATATTTTAGATACTTTTAAAATGGACAAAAAGCTCAAAATATTCATTTAACAATAACATATAATTTATGACAAGTACATGAGGAAATGTACTGGATAAAGAAGTGTTGGAGAAGACAAACCCAATCAATTACTTATTAAATCCTCTAATATGGAGAGAAGTATGGCACTTGTAATTTGGAATACATAGAATTTTATATTTCCCCAAGATAAAAAAACCCAAATCAAGAAAAATTCAGAATTCATTGAATTTCGGCCAACTACTGTAAAATGGCTCAGGCAGAAGAGCCTTCACTTGCACTAGAACAGTGAATTCGATTAAAACTTCGAAAGAAATCCTCAAAGGCTATCAAAAATATCTATCAAATATATAGCAACACAATTAGCCATAACAATTGAGATGAAGTTATTAAAAACTAGCTTTAGTGAATAAATAGAAAAGCAGTACTAGGAAAATGGGGTTAGCTCATAACAACTGAATGGTTTTTAGCTCACAGCTGCTAGTAGAATTCTGAAACTCAATCTGCTAGTAATGAGGATTTAATGAGGGCACAATATGTAGTAATTTTCTTTGCACTGTGTGGTATATAAGAAAAATATAAAAAATGATCTCTGTCTTGAAGGAGATAAGTTAGGAACACAAGAGTAAAACTCTTTAAATCATAAATAAAGCAGAAAATCAAATACAAATTGTGTGGCAGGTTATATGGATGGTATAGGACTTAAAAGAAGGGCAAAAAAAGTACATGCATACCACAAAACTGCAGAGCGGCTGAGACTGGAGTCAGGGAGGCTGGTAGAACGAACAATTAAAGCACCTCTCTCTGACACACAAGAGCAGTGTCAAAGCTTTTCCTCTATGGTTTTATTTCTAAAATAATTTGTAACTCTCATGATGTGGAGAGATGTTACCTCTAACCATGATGAAGAAAAGCAGGTTCCCCTATTATCATCTCCCTCCATTCACTATCTTTCTCCTTTACGTACATAGTGTAGGACAATATGTGAGTATATGTAAGAGTGAGAGACAGACAGAGACAGAGGGAGAAAGGGACACAGGCAGACAAAGCAAGGGAGAGCTATTTTAGAGAGCTGAGAAAGTACGTGGAGGTGCAATCTAGAATAGGAGTTACAAAGCACATTACAGATTACAACAAATGTTTTATTTAGAAGACAAAAAAGCATTCATTTATTATCTGATGTAAAATTGTTAAATGAGAATTTGAGTTTTTATTTTTGCTTACAGATGGTCAATAAATATGTATTGAGTATCTGCTATATGGTACCAAGGAAATCTGCCCTACTTCCCTAGAGTCTGGAGTATGATGAGGAAAGCAGATATTAAAATGAAATTATAAATAATTATAAATGTATTACAATTTTCTAGGAGTTTTAAAATATTGGAAAAACTCCCAGAGGTAAAGAAAAGATAGACAGACATTAATGGTAGATAACAAAGATCTTACATATGAAAGATCTGGAGTACTATTATAGGTACTTTGATACATCAATGAATAAAATACCCAGAGTCCCTGTTTTTAAGGAGCTTATACACTAAACAGTGAAGTGAGAGAAGTAAAGTAATATACAAATTTAAAAATGTAAACGGCCTAAATGTCCATCAACAGATGGATAAAGAAGATGTGGTATATTTATACAATGGAATACTATTCAGCCATAAAAATGACAGCATAACGCCATTTGCAGCAGCATGGGTGTCCCTGGAGAATGTCATTCTAAGTGAAGTAAGCCAGAAAGAGAAAGAAAAAAACTATATAAGATTGCTCATATGTGGCATCTTAAAAAAAAAAAAAGAACACAGATACAAAACAGAAATAGACTCGCAGACATAGAATACAAACTTGTGGCTGCCAGAGGGGAGGAGTGTGGGAAGGGACAGACTGGGAGTTCGAAATTTGCAGATACTGACAGGCATATGTAGAATAGATAAACAAAATTATACTGTATAGCACAGGGAAATATATACAAGATCCTGTGGTAGCTCACAACAAAAAAGAATATGACAATGAATATATATATGTTCATGTATAACTGAAAAATTGTACTCTACACTGGAAATTGACACAACATTGTAAACTGACTATAGTTCAATAAAAAAAATGTTTAAAAAATGTGTCATAGGTGAAAACTTTCATAGAGGAGTAAAAGTTAACAAATGAACAAATAGAAGATCTGAGCAAAGATACAAAGTCTCAACAAAGAAACAAAAAGTTAAAGAAGAACAAGATGAAAATTTTAGAAATGAATAAAATAAAGATCTCAGTGACTGGATTAAGCAGCACAAAGGAGTGATCAGAGGAATCAGTAAACTGGAAGATATAACCACAGAAATTAACCAATCTGAGTAACAGGAAAAAAAGAATGAAAACAAAATTAACAGAACCTCAGAGACTTGTGGGATGATAACAAAAGATCTTACTTATATCCATGTCATCAGAATCCCAGAAGAAGAGAAAGTAAGCAGGTCTGTAAAAGTACTCAGAAAAAATAGAGTCTAAAAAAAAAATCCCCAAATTTGGCAAGAGACATAAACATACAGATTCAAGAAGGTGAACAAATACCAAACAAAATAAGCCCCCCTATTTCCAAGCCAAAACATGCCATTAAACATCAGAAAACTAAAGAAAAAGAAAAACCCTGCAAGCAGCCAGAGAAAAACAACACCTTGGATAAAGAGGAAAAATACTCAGAATGACCGTGAATTTCTCCTCAGAAAGTAGGAAGACCTAAAGGAAGCAACACAATATTTTTCAGATATTAAAATTTTTATTTTACTATCAACCCAGGCCCCTATGCCCAGCAAAAATATTCTTTAGCAATTAAGGGAAAATTAGGACATTCTCAGATGGAAGGAAAATGAAGAGAATTTGTTGACAGTAGGCCTATCTTTAAAAAATGGCTAAAGGAAGTTCTCTAAACAGAAAGCAAACAACAAAACAAAGAACTCAGCAATATTAGGAAGGAAGAAAGAGAATCATGTAAAAACACTGGTAAATACAATAGAATTTTTTTCTCTTAAGTTTTCTAAATTACATTCCATGGTTGAAGGAAACGTCATAACCATATCTGATGTGCTTCTAAAACATTTGAAGAGGAAATAATTAAAGCCATTACATAATAAACAGAGAGAATAAACAAGTGTTATCAACACAGAACAGACTTATAAGATAGTTTATGTAAGCCTCATGGTATCCACAAAGCAAAAACCCTCAGTAGATACATGAAAGAGAAAGATAAGGGAATGGAAAGTGATCAAATCACAAATGAAGTCAGTAAGAGAAGAAAGGAACAAAGGAACTATAAAATAGCCAGAAAACAATTAGTAAGATGACATTAGTAAATCTATCAATAATTACTTTAAATATAAATGGATTAAATTCTTCCATAAAGACCCTGATTGGCTGAATGGGAAAAAAAAAATACAACTATGTGTTGCTCATGGGACTCACTTCAGCTTTAGGAACACAGATAGGCTCAATTTTTTTTTTAATATAATAATAAAGGGGTCAATTCAAAAAGAGGATATAGTAATTATAAATTTTTATGACCTCAACTTTGTAGCCCCTAAATATAGTAAGCAAATACAATAGATCTGAAGGGAGAAACAGATAGTAATACAGTAATAGTAGGGGACTTCAATATCCTACTTTCAACAATGGATATATCATCTAGACAGAAAATCAGTAAGGAAATATTGGACATGGACTATACTTTAGACCAAATGGATCTAATAGACATATATAGAACATTCTATCCAACAGCAGCACAATATACATTCTTCTCAAATACACATGGAATATTCTCCAAAATACATCAAGTTAGGTTACAAAACAAGTGTTAAATTTAGAAAGACTGAAATCATACCAAGGATCTTTTGCAACCACAAAGGTATGACACTAGAACTCAATAAAGGGGGAAACGGGAAAATTCACAAAAATGTGAATTAGACAACACATTCCTGAACAACCATAAAGAAATTAAAAGAAAACTTAAAAAAATGTTGAAACAAAACAAAAACGGAAAAAATATACCAAAACTTACAGAATGCAGCAAACGCAGTTCTAAGAAGAAAGTTCCTATCAATAAATACCTACATTTAACCAAAAAACAAAAAACAAAAAACTCAAACACCTAACTTTACACTTCAAGTAACTAGAAAAAAATAAAGGTACTGATCAGTAATCAAAATCCTTCCAACAAAGAAAAGCCCAGGATTTAATGGCTTTATTGGTAAATTCTTCCAGACATTTAAAAAAAGATTAATGCCAATCCTTCTCAAATTCTTCCAAAAAATAAAAGAAGAGGAAATACGCTCCAACTCATTTTATAAGGCTGGTATTACACTGATACCAAAAAGCCAGACAAGGGATGCCAAAAGCAAAAATCAACAAACAGAATACATCAAACTAAAAATCTGCACAGCAAAGGAAATCGTAAAATAAAAAAGCAACATTTGGAAAGAGAGAAAATATCTGCAAATCTTATACTGGACAAGGTGTTTGTTAAACTTAATAAAGGGAAGCCTCACTAAAATGGAGCTGGAAATCCAGAAGAGGGAAACTCTTACGTAGTACCTCTCTACATCAATTTCAGGAAGAATTGTCCATTACACACCCCCAATAGAAGACTCATCAATTACAGGACCCAACAGGAAAGATGTACATTGCATCTCATAGGAGAAATCAACTACCCCAGGAACCTACCCAATGAGAAACTGTCATCACCCTGAATTCTCAGTTTTCTCTAACAGACTTTCTCTCAAAACAACCCTTCCCAACCTCCTCATTTTTCTTTATAAAATAATTTTCCTCTCCTTTGTTTGTTGGATGGACTTGCCTATGGTTTTTGTTGTGGTCTGCTTGTCCCAAGTTGCAATTTTCTGCTATTCCCAAAGAAACCCATTTTTGCTGGTAAAATAACTGATTTTTATTTTTAAGGCCAACAGCTTAATATATAAAATATGTAAAGAACTCATTAACTCAATAGCAAAGAAATAAAAATCCCATCAAAGGGGATTAGGAAGCAGAGGTGCTGAATAGACATTTTTCTAAAGAAGACATCCAGATGGTTCACAGGTACATGAAAAGGCACCCAAAGCCATTAATTATCAGGGAAATGTAAATCAAAACCACAATGAAACATCATCTCACATCTGTTAGAATGGCTGTCATCCAAAAGACAAGAAATAACAAGAATTGGCAAAGATGTGAAAAGACATGCTACGGGAAATAAGTGAGACAGAGGAAAACAAATACTGTGGAATCTAAAAAAAAAAAAAGAACTCATAGAGACAAAATTGGTGGTTATAATAGGTAGGGGTGCAGGGTAGGTTAAGGGAGTAAAGATGATCAAAATGTACAAACTTTCAGTTACATAATAAGTAAGTACTGGAAATGTACAACATAGTGACTACAGTTAATAATACTATATTGTATATTTGACAGTTGCTAAGAGAATAGATCTTAAAAGTCCTCATCACAAGAAAAAACGTTTGTGACTATGAGTGGTTATAGAAGTTAATTAGACTTACTAAGGTGACTATTTCACAATATATACAAATATTAAATTATTACATTGTACACCTGAAACTAATACAATGCTGTATATTAATCATATCTCATTAAAAAACAAAAAAACAAAAAAAAAGAAAAAGCCAAACAAACTAAAAACTCAAAGGCAGTATAAAAAAAAGAAAAAAGAAAAAGAAAAAACCCAATATCCCTCATATATATAGATTCAAAATTCCTTAACAAAATACTGGGAATAGAACTCAATAACATATAAAAATAAATATACACCATGACTAAGGATGTACATATTCCAGAGATGTAAAGCTGGTTCAATATTTCAAATATCAACCAATTTAATCTATCACATTAACAGATTAACTAAAGAAAAAAAAGTTCATGTCGATTAATGCACAAAAAATATTTGACAAAATTCAACACCCATTCATGATTAAAAAAGCCTTAGAAATAGAGAAATAGAAGAGAGCTTCTAAATTGATAAAGAGTATCTATTAAAAGCCTACAGGTGGGTGGGAAGGGACAGACTGGGATTTCAAGATACTGACAGGCATATGCAGAATAGATAAACAAGATTATACTGTGTAGCACAGGGAAATGTATACAAGATCTTGTGGTAGCTCACAGTGAAAAAAATGTGACAATAAATATATGTATGTTCATGTATAACTGAAAAATTGTGCTCTATACTGGAATTTGACACAACATTGTAAAATAACTATAACTCAATAAAAAAAAAGTTAAAAAAAAAGCCTATAGTTTATATTGTACTTTAAGGTGATGGACTTAATGCTTTCCCTCTAAGATAGGAAAGAAAGCCAAGATGTCCATTCTCACCATTCTTTTTCAACATAGTGCTGCAAGTTCTAGCCAATGCAATTAAAGAAGAAAAGAAAAAGCATTCAGATCAGAAAGGCAAAAGAAAATAGTTCCTATTCACAGACACATGATGATCAGCACAGAAAGTCCCAAGGAATCTTAAAAACAAACAAAACAAAAAATTTAAAAACCCTCCTAGAATTTATAAGCAACAGACTCATGTGAATAAGTTTTCCAAATCCATATTATATCTTTGAAGATACATTATTAATCACCCTAGCTGGTTCTGTGTTCTAAAGAATGCAAATACATTCAGTGTCACTGATGTTTTATTACTGATATTGAAGCAAAGTAAATGATTCTGCTTATACTCCTAAACTAATTTATTCTTAGAAAGAGATGTTTCTTAGGAAGAGAGACACTTAAAAAAAACAGAACAGCATAAATTTTGCTCAAAATTAAAATCTCCCTCATGACTTAAATAGTCCTTTTTATAAGAGACATGGTATCAGATTCCTTCTTTTGCTTCACTTATTTTGGCCTAAAACTGCATTTCTGGAGAGGCTTGACTATCTTAGCTAAAATATTACCACCTTTTCTCCCTCTACACTTATTGAGATAATATGATGCCTCTAAATTCTGCAAAAAGGTCCCATTTCACTCACAGAACGAACTGAAGACCTTAAACGGTCAGCAGGACTCCACTGATCAGGCAATGAGCCCTCTCCATCTCTTTACTTGTCTACCCTCATCTCCATCCATTCTCCCTGCTTGCTCATGCTGCTCCAGCCATGCTGTCCTCCTGTGTTTTGTCTGAAGTGAAAATATGCCTTGAGAGCAGAAACCATTCTCATATGCTTTTCTCTCTCTGGCATATAGCACACATCACATAACACATGACAGGCACTCAATAAATGCTTTTTGTATGAAAAAAAAATTTTAAATATCTACTAAACTGAATTAATAATGAATCACAGAAATTTACCTCTTACTTGTTTCCTTAGTTTTTCAATTTCTTCTTTTAAGTTTTTTATTTCTAGATCTTTGCTTGCTGTTAGTGGACCATCAACAGTTGAATACTGCAGAGCCTGGACAGTCTGAGTTGACTCTTAAAAAAAAAAGAATAAAAGAAAGAATAAGAAATATGACATATAACCTAAATTTTTAAAACTAATAGGAATATATTTCTTTCTAGAGAAATCCTTACTTAATTCAGTTGATCAACACATCTACCCATTCACAAAAAAGCATGTAAACACATTAAAATTAAATGACAAAACTCCACTGAGCATGTCATTAAAATTATATGGAGGACACAATCTACCTTCAAATATGTGAGATTTCTTAGTTTTAAATAGAAAGTCAACTGTTCAGCCCCATTTCTTCCTAGCAGAAAGTGTCACCACAGGATCACCCCAAAAACATTGTTATGTCAGATAATATAAGAAAAACTGAGTTGGTGTATGAAGGGAGGTTTAGAGATGTTAATATACTATATGTAGAAGGGCTGGCCTTCTGAATATTATGTATGAACATTGAGGCCCATCTATAGATGACTGGCTCATAATCTTAGTTAAAATAGAGATTTTTCATTTGTCTTGTGGTTCTAATCAGAAAATACAAAGTATTAAAAGAAACATTAAATCTATTGAGGCTTATTCCCAGATACGATCAAAAGATATGGAAAACAAGAAACGAAAAGACCCTTGTCCTAAAATAGTTATTTTGCTACCTTACAGAGGGTTCCCAAATGGTAAATCTCTATCTCATCATAATTTTTTGTTAGTATAAATCATTACTGACTGCTTGAGATTACTAATATTAAGATTACTTAAATTTAAGATTACTAATATCTAAGCTGGGAGTAGGAAATAGGGAATATAAAAATATCCACTGGTACCTTTTTTCCCTTCTACACCTCACACACAGCAGGGTATGGAGGTAGGGTAGGTATCCCTGTTCCTCTTTGCCACCTCTGTCCTCCCTGTAAATCCCAGATCTGCTAAAATGCCCATTATCTGGTTACTGCAGTTATCCTCTGCCCGCTTTCCATTACAGCTCTTTCATTATTCTTAGTGACTTTAACAAAATAGATAATCCAGCCAACACCGGCTTCACAGGCATACAAATCCCCTGTGCAGATACTCGTTGGAGTTTTTACCCAGCAGCTATTCCTCTCCTCCTGCTTGTAAATCAAGTATCAGACCACAACGTGCTTAGACAAGATAGGCCCAACCAAAACTGCGGTTAGTTTAAACCAATCATGACAGTTTCACTGCCAGTAACGGTTAAAAATTAGGTATGTAACCTAGTTAGAACTACTGGTACCTTGAGAAGAAGTCCACTAGGGGACTTGTTGGAAAGGTTTTAATCTCCTATTAAGTGAAACATATATTAAAGGAAATGAACTTTCCCCTTTCTTTTTCGGTCTCTGGATGTGTGAAGACATGAAGTCTGGAACTCTTTCATTTCAGTAATGTGGAATTAGGAGGGAAAAGCCAAGAAAATCTTAGAGAAGCTAACTCTGATATGAGCACTGAAACTGGTACTTCTGACTTCTTAAGTGAGGTAATAAATCTGTATTATTTAAGAATTCTATTACTTGTAGCCTAAACAACCTAGTTGGTAGAAGTCTCTCCAGCCCAAACACCAAATCTACTGGTCATACCCTAGACCAGTGGTTTTCACCGTACGTGCACTTAGAGAAGTGTATGAGGGTGGGGCAGGAGAGGGGTCAGCAGTGCTGACACAGTCTCAGGAGATGGCTGTAGAATCTTACTGTCTGGGGACCAGGAAAGCTCAGTATCTTATACAATGTGAAACAGTCTCTCACATCAAAGAATTCCCCTGCCCCCAATGCTTGTAGTTCCCCTACAGAGAAATGCTACTGTATACGCTGTCATTATTAATAACTATATAACCTTGAAAATCTTGATTTCAAGTGAACAGTCTCTAACCACCTCTTATATTTATAGTTTACTCACTCTAGGGACCACCTGAGTAATTCTGCATTCTCACAAGAGATTTCTTTGCCCTTCTCTCCTCCATTGTGCTTAGCCTAGAAGACCTCAGTCTTGGCTACCCTCCTACCCTGTGCTTTCACCCTAGTAGCTAAATGGACTGAAGAAAACACAATCATTTAAAATTCATGTCTAAATATCTTGGCAATTTCTGGCAATCCTAAAATACTTCCTTGGTTCATTTACTCTTCTAGTCTCTAAGTTTACCATTTCATACCTTCTCTTTTTCTTGTCAAAACTTTCATAGATTCTCCACCTTCCTTATTCTCAGCTGATGACCCTGCTTTTTTATTTGCTTTATCATCAGTTTCCTCAAAGTAGAATGTGAACATGGCAAGGGTAGGTATTTTTTTCTTTTTCTGTTCATTATTACATCCCCAGTCATGTGCAGAACAATTTCTGCTTTATTGGTATTCAATAAGTAGCTGATAAATGGATGAATCAGCTTAAATGTTAACCTATGCCATTGTATGAAATGAAACAGGTGTTAATACCAAAAGGCAATGATCTTACATTTTCTGGGTTTGTTTTATATAGATGACACCAATCACATGTAACGAAGCTCTCTAAGAACAGATTAAAGAATTCAAAACATCAAAAACAAACAAACACAAAAACTAAACCTGGGACATAGGAATTTCTCATTCAGAATAGGATGGAGTAGGAGGTAAAAGGTCATTGCGCTATCACTCCTGTTGCAAAAAGTAAAAATACACTAGAAAATTTGCACAACTCTTATTTTTATAAACAGCATGTATCTGAAAAAGCAAAGAGAACTAAGTAAAATAAACCAGAAAGTATGAGCCATTCTGAGGTGAAAAGGCATTGGCAGCATCCCCTTATCTCAGAACCATATCTAATTCTGTGAGCAGGTGAACTGAGGGATAGTATGCTGGGGAAAAAAAATTATAACTTCTGGAGAATGGGTGGGGCTGGTATAACAATTTGGAAAATTGAGGATCCCTAAATATGTGATGGTATTTCCCCATGATATATTTGTTGTATCTGGGGATTGCATGGGAAGTTAAGGAGCTTCTGAAGTTAGAGTGAAGTCTCCTATGGTATTGGAATATTTTTGACACAAAGTCTTGCTTGAGGAAAAGAGCCTGTTTCATATACATGGCCAATCTCACCATCTAGACATTTGACAAATTTGAAAGCAGCATGGGGTAGGAGTCTGAAGGGCAGAATAAATCTCTCACAGTTTATAGAGAGTGCCCAAATCAGGCTCTAGCTAATACTCCTTCATCACATTTGAAACCAGAAGTTGAGCCTGATTAAAACTGCAACCCAGCCTTGTCTTAACTTGATCCCCCACTGGACAAAAAAAAAGGGGAGAACCTCTCTGGAGTGAAAATAACAAAAACATTCTCTATTTTTTATTCATGACATTTGTCATATAATAAAAATTGAGACATTTGGAAAAGCAGGAAAATGTGATCAATAATCAGAAAAAAAATAGAGACTGACACAGACATGACTGGGGTATTATAATTAGCAAACAAGACTTTTTAAAGAACTATTATCAATGTTAAAGAAAACAGAAAAAAAATAGACAATGGGAAATTTCAAGGGAGAGTTGAAAACTAGTAAGAATGAATCAAATGGATATTCCTGGGCTAAAAGAGACAATATCTAAAATTAAGATGCACTGAATGGACTTAACATCAGACCAGATACAGTAGACAACAGGACTAATGAACCTGAAGGCAAGTCAATAAAAAATATCCAAATTAAGCACGAAAAAACTAAGAACAAAAGAAATAGGACTGAGCATAAGAGAAATGTGGGACACAGTCTAAAATATATGTAACTGGAGTGCCAGAAGGAGAGGAGATAATGAATGGGGCAAAAGAAATATTTACAGAGATTATGGCTTAGAATTTTCTAAAATTGATAAAAGATATCAATCAAGGTTCAGAAGCTCAGTGAATCCCAAACAGGACTTTATATTACTACTGAGAAAACTACATCCAGGCAGATTATAGCCAAACTGCTTGAAAGTAAAGTTAGGAGAAAATCTTAAGTCAGCCCGGGGCCAGTGTGGGGTAGGGGTGGTGGGGAGAGGATACATTCAAGAGACAAAGATTAAGAGCAGGTTTCTCAAATATAATGGAAGTTAGAAAACAATGGAATAATATCTGCAGAGCATTCAAGGAAAAAACTGGCAAGTTATAATTCTAACCCAGCAAATATTTCTTCAAAAATGAAGGAAAAATGAAGACATCTCAGACAAACAAAATCTAAGAGATTTATTCACAAGATATACATATCACAAGAAATGCTAAGGGAAGTTTTTCAGACTAAAGAAAAATGATTCCAGATAGATACATGGATCACTAGAAGAAATAAAAAGCACAAAAGAGTAAATATGTGGGTAAATAAAAAGATATTTTAAAATTAATGACTAATAAATATTTAAAGCAATAAAATTAATGAAAGGTTTACAACACAGAGGAAAACTATATAACAACAGCTACATAAAGGGTTGTTATAAGGTTCTTATGGTGTTCATGAAGTGGTAAAATAAAATTTATTTAAAAGAAAAGACATGTAAAAACATAATGGAAAAAAAGGGCAAGAACATTCACAAGACTGAAAATCCAAATGGACAGTAAATATATGAAAAGACATTTAACCTCATTACTTATTAGGGAAATACAAATTTTAAATCATAGCAAGACCCCACTATACAGACACCAGAATGGCTAAAAGTAAAACAAACAAACAAACAAACAAAAACAAAAACTGACAATATCAGGCTCTGATGGGAATATAAAGCAAGTGAAACTCATACATTATTAGTGGAACTATTGATACAATCATTTTTGAAAACTCTTTGGTAATATTTTCTAATGCTAAAAATATGCTATCCTATGACCCAGAAAGCCTACTCCTTGGTATATACCCAAGAGAAATAAGAACATATGACTATCAGGAGAAATAAATAAGAATATTCACAGAAGCTATGCTTGTAATAGTCAATATCTGGAAATAACACAAAAGTTCAATAACAACAGTTTGGATGAAATGGTATGAATGTTTGCTTCCTCCCCAAATTTGTATGTTGAAATCTTAACCCCCAAAG